AGATTATATTGAGATAGATCACATTTTGGAAATATCCCCAATTTTTATCAGGGATATTTCTACGTTGGTACTACCTGATCGTGCTATCTAAAATTACTAAGTGAAACTGGGTGGTTTTTGTAAGTTAAAAATTTAAAACATATATATATATATATATAGGGCATCGTTAAAGCACGATGATGTTTGATGTTTGTTGCTGTGTCTCGAAATATGATGTGAAATAAGACAGACAGAGACGAAATGAAAAGAAACCTCAATAAAATGAAGAAAAACATTTTATGAAAATAAACATCACTAAGTCTCCCATCATAGGAACTGCGGAAAATTACGGCCGCCAACGTTAACGCTGGCTCCGCACCATCGAAGGAGTGTTGTTTCCAATCCCAGCTGGGATAGCGGAGCTATACCAGTTCCATGAGGCCCGTGAGTCTGTCGAAGGAGTGACAACCGTAAGTTGGCGAAAGCACCAGGCATCTTTCTTATGGCGTCAGCAGTTATGGATAACCGGACAACGATGTTTTTAGCAGCATCTATGGGACCATCCTCGCAGACGAGGCTCTTCATATGATCCCAAAAGAAAAAGCACAGTCTTCACAAATCAGGTGAGCGGAACGGCCAGTTGATTGAACTCCTACGACCTATCCATCACTCGGGATACATGATATCTAAGGCGTTACGCGCATTCACATTGTAATGGGTTGGCGCCCCGTCGTATTGGAACCACATGCGTTGTGTTATGTTTGCTGGATGTTTGTTTCATAGTTCTGGCAACATCTCTTGCAAAAACAGAAGGTATGAATTCATCCATCCAGGCGTATGGCCTAATCAGATGATCGTGCACGAATCCGGCTCAAACATTTAGTAGTAAAACGTCACTGGAACGAACGACGACGTATTGCTAAAGGGTTTTCAGTTGCTCACTCATAGTTATGGATATTCGAAATATCCTCGTGTGTAAAAGTGCACTCATCAGTGAATAACACATGTGCACAAAAATCTGGGCCCACAACTGTTTATTGGAGAAACAACGTGGTAAGATTGACATGTGCCTAATAATCCGATGCTTCCAGGCTCTGAACATGGTAGGGATGCATTCCTTCACCTTGCAGCATTCGCTGCATTGTATTACGGGAAACGTGAAAAGCTTGGGATTTAATACTTGAACACGCGGCATTATTCTCATTCGAAAAATCAAGTTTTTTTTTGTCCAATATATGTATTTCTACTTTGATTTTCTGGATCTTAGTATATTAATCTCATCTGACTTGCTTCTTGTTTTTGTTGCCTATTTATTACATAACAAAGTTAAAATACTCAAAGTCAATAAATTTCAGTCAAGAAGTTACCAAGTTAAAATACTCGATGCATAACTAAAAGCATTATAGTCTCGTTTTCGGGATCGCTTACTTCCGTTATCAATTTCGTCTGACAGTAAGCGAAAAGGCAATTATAAATTTATTTCTGAAGATCGGAAAACAAAACTTTAAAGAGATTTAAAATGCTAATGAGCAAAAGTTTAAGTTTAGACAATAATAGTAAAATGAAATCTTGAATTTTTTTATCGAAATTTTCTATTTTCATCTAGTTAGATACCTTAAGTAATATTTAAATTATATATGAAGGTTTTTGGATGATATAGTGATTAGCCACATTTTTTCTAAAAGAACATTTTAAAACTAAACTGTTCTTTATTATTGTTTTCATTTAGGTATTTTTCAAGTTTCTAGAATGTCCGCTAGATGGAATTACAATAAGCAGCAACATGTTATTGCCTACGATGAAAGTTGGATATTTTCAATTAAAATGCTAACCTAAAAAATTTGAAAAATGTACCATTCTGCCCCAAATTGTTCATACGTAATTAAAAACTTATACTTATTTTGAGATGAATTGCAAATGATATATTAAATTTTATTATTGAACTTGAATGAATACCTTGATTAAGAAGAGACTGGAATATATAAAGAGAGACATCTTTAAAAGGGATTTGAGTTCTTGAGTTCGTCTTCATTGCATTTTGTAAAAACGTCATAATGATGGAAACTACCAGAATGGATAAGGCAATGCACAACCAAACCTGCAATATAAATTTAAAAGTTTTAGATTGTGTAGGGGAAAGATGACGAATTTAAGCTTTAAGCATTTTTCCTGAAATTTCGAATTTGTATATTTTTTCTGAGTGGCTTAAGAACCTGAAATTTACAAAACTCTTCTTTCAAGCTTTATATGGCGGGTGACAAAGCACTTTCGGCAATCGTATAGTTCCTTGAGCTATGAAGTTCATATATTACAGAAAAAAAAGATTAATGGCGTACGTTCAAGTCTCCACTACTGACGAAAGACTTTGTAACCATGTACTAAAGAAGTGCCCTGAACAATGAGCTGTAAAAATGTCATTAGAGCAGGCATACAATCGTTTCGGTATTATAATGAAGCACCCGTTTTCGTGGTGATACATAGAACGAAAGAGATTGTAAATGGTTGGAGATACACACAATGAAACAAGACAAGTTGCGAACAAGTTACAAAAATGTAAAAAAAAAAAAAAAAACGAAAGAAAGAAGCTATTTTGCACGCTAATTTAATAAAAAATAGTTAAAGAAATTGTGTATTAGCTACTTCATTATTTAATAACAAACCTTAAAAATCAACTGGAAGTAAATTTTACAGAGATAGTGTATGTTTCATTTTACAATAAAATAAGTTCTTAATTTAGAAATTAAAATAACTCACTAATTGTGGCAATATCTATATATTGTGAGCAAAGCATAAACAAATCAACAGCTATTTGCTGACCAGAACAGTCTAGTGCAAGCTTTTTGTAGAAATCATTAGCTGGTCCAATGTTTGAAACATCCTGTGTGCAAAAAGAACAGAAACATAAAATAAATACATAAATATGATTATTTCATGTCATTTATTTAAAGGGAAGAAAATTCTAATAACAGAACATACAAATTGCTAACTATTATAAGATAAATTACAATAAATTAAATGTTATACCTTTGCGGCTCTTTGATTTGGATCTTCACGGTTTTTTAAGGCTCCTGGACCATAATTAGGTAAACTGCTTTGAAAAACTGTTACTCGACCACCTATTGGAGACTAAAGAAATAAACACAATTTGAATGCATCCTATTTATGGGGAAAATAATATATTTTAATGTTAGCAATTTAAAAATTTTATTTTTACCATCAGCTTGTAAGCAACTTGAAGAGCAGCACCAAGACAGCTGTTAACATCCCCATTAGATGCAAATCTTTTTGGTAGATCAGTAAGCAATTCTGTAATCAACTACAAAATAAAAATATTACTTATTAACCATTAAAAATTTGTTATAAGTCTCATTAAAAAGGAAAATCTCTGCAAATATTTGAAAAAAAATATTTCTTTCATTTTTATATAATTTTATTGTCTACACTGTTTATTATCCTAAAAGTTTAAGTTGAAACTCAAATTGAGGAAATCATACTTTTTTCATTCACAAGGATAGGAAAGATATGAGCTTTTTGCAAACTCAAAATTAAGTTTTTTCAAAACAGCATTTTTTTAACGCTTAAGACAAAACTCTCAAGTTTAATCCAATTCACTAAAAAATTATGTACGTGAAATAGAAATATTGCACAAAAGACCCTTTTTAGTGAACTTATAATTTTTGCTTCATTACAATTAAATATGTGATCCATAAATACTATATTATTATAACCTTCATAAAGTTATCGAAATATTTATAAAAGGAATTTTCAAGTTACTTGAAGGGAAAAAATACATAACACCTTAAGTTAATTATCATTCAATAAACAAAACAAAAAAAAAA